TGACACTGGTGCTTCTGAACCTTTTTTTTTTTCGTAAGTCATTTTGATTCTTTTTTTTTTCCCTTTGGGGAGGAACAGAAATAAAAATAGTAGCAAATGGTTTGTTGTGGGTCTTCCTAAAGGATCCTCAGAAGCTGCTTCTGAGTTTACCCTCAAGCATTGGTCTCCATGCTGTATTCCCTTACATCTCACAGATCTGCCTTATCATCTTTCAAAAGAAAAGAGAAAAAAAATTACTTTAATCTGTAGAAATTGGATTTTTAGTTCTGAAGTCATGGATTCTCCAGATCAGGTTTTAAGAAAAAAAAATTCAATGAATGAATACCATATGGATACTTCTTTGTAAAATGCTTTTCTCTCCTTGCTATCTTAGTGCTGGGAGCCATTAGCCAAGTAGGTATGACAATTTCCTTGCCAGCGTACCCCATGTTGCAGTGACATTGAATGTAGGTGAATTGTGGTAGTGCTGGCATACCTTGCTCAAGGACCAAGGCGGATTAGGGCGTTCCCGGTTTAGGTTCCAGGTTTAAGGTTTAAGATTATTCCTGCTGGGAATAGGCCGTATCTTGCTGCCTGAGTTCCCCTTGAGTTCTCACGGGATTCAGACAGTATATTTTTGGAGATAGAAGCCCAGTGGAGGTGGATTTGGGTAGAGAACGTGGATTTCCCCAGAACGTGATTGTAGATGGCTGGTGTGAGTTCAGGAATAAAGAGTTGCTGTTTGAATCTACAAGCTGTGTGGTGGCTCATGATTGTGTGCCCAGCCAGACTGCGGCATTTGTGCCCAGCCAGACTGTGGCATTTGTGCCCAGCCAGACTGTGGCATCTTAGTCCACAAACAGTATGTATTTTCTTCATGGACTGATGAAAGGATTTCTTATCATAGAACTCAATTTTTATACTTAGTAATATAAGAGTACTTTGCCTAAAACTGCACAGAAATACTATATTCCATCTCTTATACACTGTACTCTATTCCTGAATAGCATAGGAAATGAAAACATCTTTCATTAACCCAATAGAAATTAAAAAATAAAAAGAAGGAAAAAAATTCCTATTATGCAAGGACATAAAAGTTTTATAAATGCTTTAGCAAGTGAAAAGCCACACAAAAGTGTGTTGCTAATCAGTCTAATAGAAAAATTCCAAGCCCTGGGGAGACTGAGAAGCAATTCCAAAGTTCTTGCCCTCTCAGGAAACCTATTTAAATTCCAATCAGAAGCCAAGGCAGAAGCTTTATTTCATTTTTCTTTTTTTTCTAAGACCTTGTGAAGGCAGCACTTGAACAGCACTGGAAACATTCTCCATCTCGACGGCCAAAGATGCTCTTCCTCTCTTAGATATAGAATGAAGAGTTGGAAAAAAGAACATCACGTTTTGGCCATTACCAGAATGTTTAAGGAACTGTGCATGGTGAGATTTCTAATTCACACTTCTGAATTTTTAAAAAGGATTTTCAATGATGATATAGTGCTTCAAAGTGCAGGTGTTGTGGTTATGTTCTCATGGTTAATGCCATGCAATGTCCTTTTGCTTAATAACTGTGTACAATTGAGTTAGCTGCATAACCTTTCTGGCCCCCAGATTCCTCATCTTTAGTGGGGATTGTATCAAGATGAACAGATGCATTAAGGGATGAAACAATGCAGGTGGAGCTTAGAGGAGAGCACTTGACATCTGAAAGGACCCCATAGACAGCAGTTGTTACAGAATTCAAAACTATCTCCTATTTTTCTTCCTTTCCTTTGCTTTAGGAACTCTTATTGCTTCATGTCTAAAGAAATCCATACTCAGCTATTTACCTTTGAGTAAAAACTAATGATTCAGGAATTCAAATGAATATTTCCCCTCTATTTCTCCAATTATATCTTATTTGTTCCTTCTAAACACATTCTCATTTATCCTCTAACCCCCATCCTAATGCTTTAGATTATAAGGTGAATTTTATGAATCTGTATTAAAGTACAATAGTAGGAGCTTGGTAAATTTAAGTACTATTGTGCCAATCATAGATACTGATAGAGAATACAAAACTTACTATTTCTATAACCGCAAACTAACAAATGGCAAAGGGAAGGAAATTAAAGATAAAAAACAGGGACTCATAGGACAGAATGAAAGCTTCTGATTTAACTATGTAATTTTCTAAGTGTGCTTGATGTCATAGATTGCATTGGGTTCCTGTTGCAAAATTATTCAGGAAAGTTCAAGTGACTGATGTACAGAACTACTTCAGGACTAAGCATCATAGCTTGGTCTCACCCTTACCATTAGCTAAATCACTAAGATAACAGAAAAGAAGGAAATTCAGGCATCTGTTAAGAAGAAAACCAGCAGAGAATGGATATTTTTTCACCCACATTAAATATAAATATTGAGACATCTAAGGAAATTGGCACAACTATACTAAGGGCAAAGGAAAGGACCAGCTATCTGAAAATAATGTATATATTAGATAGCCAGGAAAGGGAATATGTTTAATCAGAAGGAAATGTTTAACCAGCAGGAAAAGAGATATATCTTCAATTGGTGAAGAAGAATCCTAGATCAAATATATGCTAAATTTAAGGTATTTTTTAAAAGATAATTATAGATAGGATTTTTAATTATTTTTAAATTAGTAACATAATTATTTAATAAAATATATGAAAATGTGACTGATATGTACATCCATGTGCATATAAATTATCTGAAATTTATTGCTTGAAGTACAATCACAAAAATACTGCCTGTAATGACATCCTAATTACAGATCTCTCTTACAGTTTTCAAATATATGTATGTATATATAAATAATAAAATTTCAACCATAAATTATATTATTCACAGAAAGTTGGTGTGAAAATTAGTTTTGCTGCTAAATAATTATTTTTGTTAGGAAGAAAAAAGTGAGTAGTGTGAATAGTGGGGCACAGAGAGGCCGACTTCCAAGGTCACTGCCCAAGGAGGTGGCTACTAGCCACAAGTCATGATTTGAGGGACCCCTAAGCAATATCAGGAACAGTGCCAGCATATTCAAGAGTATGGTGTCAAGGAAGGAGAGAACAAGGAGTGTTCTAAGAGAAATGTGGACAGTGTAACCTGTTACCTACATCATAATATAGAATTAAATTTGATATTGAAGAATATATATAGGTTAGAGAGGGTTGGGTCCATAATGTGGTCATTTTTGGAAAGTTTTCAATAGTTTAAAATTTTAAAATATAAGATGCTATGGTATGTTAGCCTAATAGTTCCACCTGTGCATATAAATTAACCATAAAGCTCATATTTTATCTCTGAACTTTAAGTAAAATTGATATTTCAGTTTTTAATCCTGATGCTTAATTCTAAATATTTCTACAATAGTAACAAAACACATTTTCCAAATAAAATATCTTTCATTGTTATGTGTTCCCTTCTAAATTATAAAATTATATTTAAAATATTTATAAATAATCAGTGTTTGCTTTTTGTCTGCATTTCTCACTTATAAAATGCTTTATTCTTTTTCATGTTATTAATGTCTTATTGATAGTATCAAGTTATGATAAGTTGTAATAATTTCATTTATATGGACATCTTAATTGCTGAATATTTTAGATATTTCTTAATTGCCAATATTAATACTGTATAAATTTCCAATGTAAAATTTCTACATCTCTTTTCATTAATAGAATAAGTTTATATGTCTGTGGTTACTAGTATAAGCAATACAAACGTGCTTATAATTCTGGAATCATTTATATATTTTTAGCAGTATTAAAGAATGAATAAATTTTGTTTACATTTTAGAGTAGGAGTCATTTTTTTAAAGTATGATTTTAATAAATGTATTTTATTCTTATGACTGGTTCAGTTTTATCTCACTTTGTTTATGCAGACATTGCTTAAAATATTGCTGACATGAATACTCACATCTTCCTTTAGATTTATGCTTTCTATGGATCAGAAAGCTTAGGCATGATGGTCATTCAATAGCACAAAGCTATTAACCATGAAGTTGGGATTGCTACCTTTTTGACAGAAAACAAACAGATTTTTGTCTTTGTGCTCAAGTATTTATTTGGAATAATTTTAAAGTAACAGAAATAAGATGGTATAGAGGGTTCTAATATGTTACTCACTTAATTTCCTTTAATTCTGTTTTCTTATGTTACCATGGGCACATTTGTCAAGACTAAGAGATGTCAGCAAATAATACAAGACTTTTCCTGACATGGTGGCGCATGCCTGTAATCTTAGCCACTCAGGAGGCTGAGGAAAGAGGATTACAAGTTTGAGGGCAGCCTTAGCAACTTATTGAGACCCTAAGCAACATAGTGAGACAGTCTCAAAAAAAAAAAAAAAAGGGGGTGGGGATGTGGCTCAGTGGTTAAGTGCCCCAGATTCAATCCCTGGGACCACTTAATAATAATAATAATAGTAATAACACAAAACTTTATCTATATTTAAATAATTTTTCACTACTATGCATGGTAGGATTCAGTCCAGAAAAGCACAGTACATTTAAGACATTACCTTTTAATGATCTAAAATCACAAAATTTGTGGTCAAAAACATGAGCACACTATACTCTTTGTTGTTGAAGTTTTAGCACTAATTTTGGAAATTCTGTACTTGAAAAAAGAAAGTGTTGGTTTGTTTGTATCTGATGAATCTTTAACCAAAAAAAATGGTATTTTTTCTTAAAACACTTCCAGATAAAGATGATGAGACAATGAATAAATAAGAGTTCCTTAATTATCCAACTAACACAGGGACTTGTCTTCCTTTTAACTTTTCACTCAGTTTGGATTTCTTTGTACAGGAAACAGGAATGGAACCAGGTAGGTCTCAGGGTCACAGTAATGCATTCAAGGAAAGCTAAAGACATTTAAAGTTGTTGTGTATTTAAAAAGTATCATTTCTTCCCTGCAAACAATAATCAAATATTTGATCTTTGTAAATCAATAAGAGGAAAAGCACTGGTTAGCCTTGTCTAGGTGAGGCAGGAGTCAGGAGCAAAGGTTGTCATTTGTGCTCTGCGTCCCTGGCTGTGGCAGGACATTCTGGCCCCTCCCCACTATCTGCATTTCTGACTGCATTGATGTTTTTAGTGGATGGCCTCACTGGACTCTCACAAGAACCAGGTGAGTAGCCCTTCCTATTAAACTCATTCATAGAGCATAAACTTGAGGCTTTTAAATTTTTTGAGAGCTATAATTAACCTAGTCTCAGAAAGTTTGGAAACCAGGTCTTCATGAGTTTGGCTAAACTGACTCCTGTAAATTACATATTGATCTTCTAGGGCTGTTGTCTGAGTCAGTGACCTAGTAGGGTTTATTTTATACTCTTGTTTCCTTGGTGATAAGATGTGAGCGGTGGATACAGAGCTCACAGTGGAAACAGAGCTCATGTTGCAGACCTCAGTGAGGAATGAATTGAAATCACAGTGATAGTGGCTGCTGTCAAACTAGCAGATGACATACATTTGTGCATGTTAGCTTTATTAATATTCCAATTTGTTTCTGTTGGCTTTATGGGGAAGTCATATATAGGCCCATTTTTCATTCTCGAATAAAGCCAACTATGGTTTTATTCCTGTATTTTAACAACAAAACATACATATGTATGCATATATTTACATATAAATATTCACAGACACAAATGCTATTTGTGATTCTGTCATATGCACAGGTGAGAATACAGTCACCTTTTGAAGCTGTGTCAACCAGAAGCAAATGATTTCAAGAGTTGGGAGTATGTATCTGGAGAATCATGGAAAAGTTTCCTGTGGGTAAAACACCTGTTTTCAAGTAAGAACATTTTATCATTTATATTTATATGTTACCAAATTTGACCATCATTATAATCCTTGGAGATGAGTGCATAAGCTGCTTATGAACATTTCTATGTTACAATAAAGTCAAATAAATTTGAAACCATGTGTTTTGAAGGATTATATCTGCTCAGATAGGGTCACATGTATAAACAATGCATATATAATAATAAAGTCTCAAGACTCTAAGTTTTATTCACCCAGTTATTTATTTCCTCACTACATGTTGCCGATATGCATTTGCAGGTGGCTGGACAAGTGCCTGCTGACTCTTCATGATGGCTCTGATTCCTTTCTCAAGATTCTTCATTCAAACATGAGCAAAGAAATAATATGCTTTAAACTTTAAGGTGGACCAAAACTGTAGAGACCATGGCTTCCATGAACTTACTGCTGGAAAAGAAAATGTCCTAGGCTTCCTCTGCTGATCTTCTGGGAGAGGACTGAATTTTGGAGCTAGAGATTCAGTGTTATAACTGTAAATCAAGCATTGTTATTTGCTTCATATTAAGCTTTAAATACATATTCCTCTACAATAAATAGGGATAATAAAACCTCACACAGATTGTGGGTCCTAAGCAATTGCTTTCCCTGCACTCTTCCATTTATTCAGCATAAAACAGACATTATTTTTGTTAACCTTTGTTCACCTTTTTAAATGATAAATGGCGAGTAAAATCTCAAAACTTTGTATGTATTCATGCATCAAATATAGTAGAGCTATGCACTGTATTATACGTCTTTCTGTTTTATAAAGAATGAATCCTCTCATTCACAGAACCAATCCTTTCCAATGATTTTAAGAAATTTTTGAGGAGCATCCATGGTTGTCAGGAGCCACCTCAACTGCCTCTTATTTCTTCTTCTAATGGTAGATGAAGCAGTCCCCTAATCAAGCATGGCAGGCTACTCATCCCTGCCTCATTCTATGCCTATGGAAGGTGTAATTAATAAATAATAGGCTTTCTTTGTTTGCAAATTGAGTGTGGCTTCAGAATGCCCTTCAACAAATACAAGAGGCAGCTCCTACATAATGGTTAAAGCTGGATTTTGACAAAGTAACTCCTCCACCATGTTGAAAATCTGGTTTTCTTAAAGTGTACAAGAATTTATCTATACCTCAATATTGCCTGATGTACAACAGCCTTCAATAAATATCTAATAATATGTTCTCAGTGATAACGAAAGCACTCCAGATAAGTCCACCTAATGATGCAGCAACTAGTTGATGACTGTAATATTACAAATAGCTTGAAGCAATTTTTTTATCTAAATTATATGTTTTCATGATCACAGTTTTACCTTCACCTTTTCCTTGGAAATCATGCGAAAACAGAGCACTATAACTGAGTTTGTCCTCCTGGGCCTTTCGAATAATCCAAGAGTTCAGAAAATAGTATTCGTTGTGTTTTTGTTGGTCTACATTGCAACTGTTGGAGGCAACATGCTGATTGTAGTGACCATCCTCTGTAGCCCTGCACTGCTGGGCTCCCCCATGTACTTCTTCTTGGCTGTCCTGTCCTTCCTGGATGCCTGCTTCTCTTCTGTCATCACACCAAAGATGGTTGTGGACTCTCTTTATGAGAGAAAAACCATCTCCTATAAAGGATGCATGATTCAACTTTTTGCTGAGCACTTCCTTGCTGGAGCAGAGTTAATTATTCTCACAGCCATGGCCTATGACCGCTATGTGGCCATTTGCAAGCCCTTGCACTACTGTTCCATCATGAACTGGAGGCTCTGTGGCATTCTGGTGGGGGTGTCCTGGACAGGGGGCTTCTTGCATGCCATCATACAGATTCTCTTTACTTTCCAGCTGCCCTTCTGTGGACCTAATGTCATTGATCATTTCATGTGTGACCTCTACCCATTGCTGGAGCTGGCCTGCACTGACCCACATGTCCTAAGCCTTCTGGTGATCGCCAACAGTGGGTTAATCTGCATCATCAACTTCTCCTTGTTACTTGTATCCTATGGTGTCATCTTGTTCTCCCTGAGAACACACAGTGCTGAGGGGCGTAGGAAAGCTCTGTCCACCTGTGGATCTCACATTACTGTTGTGGTTTTGTTCTTTGTCCCATGCATATTTGTATATGCAATACCTCCTTCTACCTTCCCTTATGACAAAATGGTGGCCATATTTTACACCATCCTAACTCCCTTGCTTAATCCTTTGATTTATACTTTCAGGAATAAGGAAGTAAAAAATTCCATGAGGAAAGTGTGGAAGAGGTTGGTAGTAGTTTCTGATGAAAGGTAGATATTAAACACTTTAAAAATTAAATTTCTGACCTAATAAGTAATTTTTTCTGATAAAAACTTTATAGGATTTTCTTTGCATAGAAATATGGTAATATACATTTATAGAAAAACCTTCATGTATGGGTCATAAAATGATCCTTACTTTCACTTCAGGTATCAGATCTGAGCTGGCAACTTGATATTTCATATATAAGTTAAATAATTGAATTGTATGCTTCCTTAGAATCTAAAAATAAAAGAAATGAAGAGTGAGAAGAGAAATTACCTACTGATTGCTATCCATTCACTCTATTTGCAAAATCTTTGCAGAGGAAAGACAAAAATATTCTGTGTATTAATAACAGAAATTTACTCACACTGTTTCATGGTATAAAAGATTGATGACAATGATCTTAGTGACTGTTGAAGGACTCAAGTCAAGCAGAGAGTAGAGATTCATAAAACTTCTACTGAAGGATTTCCTTTGTCAGGTGACTTCAACATTCAGTGTGGGCTGCAAATTTTGAGTCCCTTCTTGCATTTCCTGGGAGATAGGATTTGATTGGTCCAGTTCTGCCTATGGATAGCTCCTCTCAGATATGAGACAACCACCAATCAGCTGTTGTGGGAGGACAGAGGGGCACACTCCATATGGGAGTCAGCCATCAGTATTTTTTATTCAAGTGCAGTCAAAGGAAACTCTTGAAACACCACTATACCAGCAATGCCTTCCTAAAGATGTGTACATAGGGCTGTGACTTCCTCCCCTTGCAGAAGAAATAGTAGCCAGAGGCACCAGAGAGTAAAACATCAATTTTAAAAAAGGATCACATTTCAATTTGTATGTTTTTAATTTTCTTGACTTTGACTACCAAGTGAAAATAATTCTATTGGTATAAGTATCAATAAAGAGATAATTTAAATGTAGATAAACAAGTCATTCTTATTGCTAACATAGTTAATCTCAGATTACCATGTAACTTCTGGAACAAACCTATGTACTGACATATTTCAGTTTCTCCTAATAATAGTTATGGCTTTAGATCTCCATGGTGTCTTCTATGTAGATTTGCTTAGGCATGATGACACTCATCTCAGTGATCTTGTTGGGCTACCACTAAGTTGGCTCCTTATAGTTACCAGAATTAGTCAATGAATTTTCAGGAATACACTGCCAATATAAAAAGTGGAAATTTAAGAAAATGTTTCTGGATATTTGAAAGAACAAGAGTGGGTTTCTACCTTTAAACAGGAAATGATTCAGGAAAGATGCTGTATTAACTCATAGGTAATATGAAAACATGATTTTGCTCATAATCTCACAGTTGTTCTGCATTTCCTTAGAGGAAAAGGGGGAGTCCTGGCAGTGACCTCCCAGACTCTACAATTTGGGTCACTGTGACCTCTGTGACTGCTTCTTTCTCACACCTTCCCTCCGTATGGGCTCTTTTACGTTCAATGAACACCAGGGTCATCTCCTAGTTCAAAGCCTTTGCACATATTTCTTGATTTGGACCCTTCTTCCATCCATTCTATTCTCATTCTCTCTGCATCTCACATTACCTACATCTTAAAAAGCAGAACTCTGCACTGTGGCTTTCATTAAGCCCCCTCATCACCACCTCTCTGTTCTCTGAGATCTGTATCACTCTCTCACCCTCCATATAATTTGTATACTTGTATTTTTGTTTGTCTCCTTTCATAGACTGTAAGCTACGAGGTAGAGGATTTTTTTTCTCTTAGGTTCACTGAGGCATCTCTGTTTTAATAAACAGACATTGACTGTATGAATGGATGATATATCTTCCCTTAGTAAAGTTTAAATCCATCTCTAATATTAACTTAATGAAATGTTTGCAAAGTGAATATAGACATTGCTGGCATTATCCTGCAGATGTTGATACAAGCTACAGTCACCCTTTGACATAGTTTAGAAGGGGATATTTCAAATAAATTCTACTTTTAGTTATTTCCTCTATGTTAAATTATTTATTATAATATTTTTTCACTCTCCATTCATCACTTGAAAAAATAAAAGTTTTTCTCAGTGATCTTTAGCTATTTCGGATCTCAGTAAAATAATTATTGCTTCAAATTTCCATTTTATTGATTAGGTTTGATCTGAATAATTTTTTTATTATTATTCATTGGAACACTAACTTTAGTAAGATATAACTTTAAGTGAACAAATTTTAAAGTCAGGTCCTAATTCACTCTGAGATTTTACATGAGATACATACACATGGATCAAAAGACAAAAGAGTGCTGAGCATGTGGCACACACCTATAATCTCAGTGGCTTGGGAATCTGAGGAAGGAGGCCAAGTTCAAGGCCACACTCAGCAATTTAGTGAGATGTTGTTTAAAAATAAAACTTGCAATAAGAAAAATTGCTAGGGGTGTGGCTCAGCAGTAGAGAGACACACCTGAGTTTAATCCCTAGTACCAAATAATAACAATAATAATAATAATACAAAGAGTACAAGCATCAGTTGTCATCTATTCTGAATTGCATAGTTTTCATGACTGAATGACCAAAGTTCACTGCCCTCAGTCAAACCTTGGGTACCCTGGTTTGGCTTTATGTGGAGTCCTTAGGTATCTCAACTTTTCTATCCACAAGAAATATTAAATGAGCCTTCACAAAATTCACTCAGAGATTGAAGGGACTTGGTGAAATCATCCCAGGCTCTGCCTAATTGACTGATTTTTGTTTTGCTGGACAAGAAATCTTATGCCATTACTATAGATATGTTATTAAATAATAATAATTTTAAAAATGCTTTAGACTCATAGTTGTGAGATTTAGATTCTAAGCATGTTTTGTTACTAATGGGTTTTGTCACCTTGAGTGAGACTTCTCTCACTTTTTCACCTCAATTCCTCATGTTGAAGAAGGATTAATAAGAACAAAATAATTTATTCTGCACTTTTTCTGAGTCAGAGATTACTAGTTTTATGTTATATCTTTAAGTCTTTATAAAATTGTATAGTGGAAAATGATAAAATTATAAATTTTTCTTCACACTCCCAATTAACTGGTGCAGAAGCTGTGGTCTAAAAGCTTTAAGTGACACAACAAAAAAAAATATTCTCAAAATTCTTCCAGCCTATTTGTAATTTTTTTTAAAAGGCCAGGTTGACTGTATTATTTTCCCTAAGATGTTTCTCTCAGACACTTGCTTGCTAGTTGGTGCTCAACACAGAAGCTAAAGTGTGAAGTGTTTTGCAATCTGCCTCCTGCTTCTTTCTACCACCCTCACTCTGAATTTCTGATATAAACCTCATCATAGTCATCTCAAAGGCAATGGCATAACTGGCAGGACACTAGGTAGCAAATCCTGGTCTCCATCCATCTTAGGAAAGTAATTTCATAATGTCCCAACTATAATAGTTTATGATTACATTTAAATTAAAAGATCTGGCTTTCTTCCTTGTGTGGAAGTGAATATATCTTTAGAAATAAGAGAAAAACTCATAATAAAAGTATTCAATAATTCTGATCCCTTTTTTTTCTCTCTACACTGGCTTAAAACATAGATGGGATGAGAAATGGGGAAAATAAATATTATTATTAGTTGACCTTTGCAAAAGATGAAATTGGAAATTGAAAATATTAATGTAGTTAATTAAATTTAGATAGTTGATGTGGTGGGGCCAGGTCTCATGTCCACCAACATCTAACTGGCTTCAATGAATTTCATGTTTCCAAAAGAGACTAACTTAAGCCAATCATAAAAGAGGTGAGCATGGTTTTCTCAGTTGCAATTCATATCAAGTTGAAATTTAACTACTTTTCTACAGTGCCTGCCTTCTACAGTCAACAAGGTAACTCACTGATGTCCTTTGGGACTTGCTGGGAGTAGGGCTTTCTTAGAGCTCCTGAGGATAAAAGCCTTACACTTCTAAAACCTTTGTGGAATTACTATAAATTTCCAGTGTAATAAAAATAAATGTGTTTATTTACACTTTTACCAAAGACAAACTGGTAAAAAAAAATAGCTGGTTTCAGAGGGTTTCTCAGAGCACAGGGGTAGTTTCTTTCACACTGTTTTCAAGAGACAAATTAAGAAACTTCTAAGTTTTACAACTTTCTTCAATGCTCCAGTGTAGAAATTGTTGTTTTCATCTGACACAGGGCTTTGGGAGGAACCATGTGTAATATGTCCACATGTAGAGTCCCCTCTCCACATACTCTATCCACATCCCTTAACCTCTATGATAGAAAGCTGTACCCAGGCTTCATGTGATTCAGCTTCCTGTAAATGAAAGGTGAAGTTCTTTGGAAAGCATCTGTTTGCTTAACAGAAAAAAAGGTAAGGATTTTAATCTATCTGAAATGCTCTCTTCACATGGCTTTCTCAAGACTGTCAAGAATACTGTGTCTTCTATGAAAGGTAGAACTTCTAGGGAGTATTTTCCCAAACAAGAGTGATGCTTTTCCAGGGTTCTTAAAAATCTTCCTAGCTTCAGCAGGAACATACACTATTTCTTCAGCAACTCTCTGCTCACAGAGGGTGGAATAATATAGCACCATACATTGAGCCCAGCATGGCAGAACTTTTGATCTTGGGATCATCTCACTTGAAGAGTTTAATGTCAGTGGTGTGGTTTCTGGAACAAAGTATGTAATAGGACTCCACTCTCCATACACTTGGAGTTTCAGGACACTTGGTCATCCTTGTTCAAAATGCACCACCACCTACCTCCCTGGTTTGGGGTCAAGTGGGTTGGAGAGAAAGAGGCTGAGCTTTATGGTGAAATTTTGGGTCACAAACCCTTTTTACCTCCCCTCTCCAGATCTTCTTTCTCCTACCTCACAACTCTGCAGCTATCTGTTCACTTATCAGTCTCCTGTTTCCTACTCTAATTCATTGAGTCTATGACCTTTTCCCTTTCACTATCATTCATTAGCTATCTAATTTGTATTTTGATATTTTTTTTCATCATGAATTTGCAGAACTTGACTTTGGGATCAAATCTGAAAATTTTTAAAAAAATCAACTGGAATCTTCTGACAGCTCAAGTTTTCTCTTTTTTGAGGATACAATGACATGAATGCTTGGGATTTGCTGTTTTATATGACAGGTAAGGTGGATGGGAAAGAGAATAGCTGTTTAGTAGCAGCATTTCATTCTTGTTTTGCCTCAATAAAACTCTCTGGGTTACAGGTCGAATTTCATACCCAGAAAATAACAAGGCTAATGGACATACTTTTCTTGCAAGAAAATGTTCGTGTCAAAGGAAATAACATAAGTGAACCTCTATTTAAGCTATAAGGTAATGAAACAAGGAAAATAGGTAATATGAGGTATTTTATTCACATCAACACAAAGTGAATAGTAATATCAAAGCAAAGGGAATAGAGGTAGATGTTTATTTCTAGACAAAAATAAAGAAGGGTCTTGGGTCCAGATATGATTTAAACTTGTTAAAATTTTAATGGGTAGAAATAAAAATTTAAAATTAAAGAAGAGTAAATGGTATGCCCCACTACTGTGGTAATACCCCAAAGGTATTATCAGAGAGGAAGGATAGTTCAGGAGTTTTATGAAATAATGACTGGTTTCAATAAAAAACCTGAGGCAGTATTGATCTGAGCTTATGCACACAGCCTGTCAAAGTGCTGCCTTCCAAATCTTTTTTTTTTCCTCTTATTTAAAATAAACCAAAATAGCATGGCCTGGACAGCGTGGTTGACCATCATTTCCCCAGGACTTTCTAACAGCCTTTGTATTGAATGAGAACATAGATTTTTAAGACAAAGCTTTACCACTATTTCTAATGTTTGAAATTTTACTACCCCATTAACTCATTCTCTAAGGCTACTTAGACTTGGGAAAGGGATATTTGATAGAATTGCATAAAGCTGTGTGTAATTTTTATGTAATTATTTATCTTATCTGGAAGTGTGTAATCCCTTCATCATGATGGCAAAGTGCTTGAGAACATCTTTCCATGCCCTACTATAGTGGCTGCAGATCTGAGGGGGTCTGGTGACAGATGTGATAGTGCTCTTTAATTCATCGATGGACTGGCAATTAATCAGACACAGGTAGACTATCTCAGAATTCATACTAAAATAAGTGCTGGGAATATTATGAGACAGAATAAAGATGATAACTCCCAAAGTTAGATAACTTGTTAAATCATAAAGGGGAAAATTCATAGATTCAATGGTATAACATTCAAAACAGGAAAGAGCTCAAAGCAAGATATCAAAAACAATTTTAAAAGACATACATAATTCAGACATATGAAATATAAGAAATGAAAATATACAAAAATATTATACTGTCCTCAGTAAACAAATAAATGTTTATTCTAATTTTTATTCTATTAGCCAACCAAATAAGATAATGCTTAATTTTAGAATTTTATTTTAAAAAAATGCTATTTTGCTACAGTTTTAGAAACTATGGTAAATAATGATCCAATGTGTTCATAAAAGGGATATCTAGAAAAAAAAAAAAAAAAAATATATATATATATATATATATATATATATATATATACACATATATACATACACACACACACACACATATACATATGCATATATAACTATAAAAAATCTAGGAGAATACATAAGGAATGGTATGTTACCTCTGGAGAGTGAGATGGAAAATTATGAATTTTGTAATTCAATATAAACTTTGGATATTTCATTGTGAAAATACTCTTATACCATGATGAAAATATTTCTAATAAATATTAATACAACAAAATTGGAAAGGCATTAGACAATGATTATCAGTAATTATGAAAATTTATACATTTTATGCCTCAGAAGTTTGTAATATATATTGATGAAATTATTAAAAATAAAGTATATAAATAAGAGATTTGGGCAAATGTTTATATATGAGAGTTAAAATATAAAAACAATGTTAAAATTAAATAGTAAAATTTATGTTGTGAAATTTCAAATGTTAATTTATAATCAAAAAAGGGATAATTGTATTGTGAATACTCTGTGAAAACTAGAAAATAAAGTATTATTGGATGATTTAAATTCTATAAATATGTGTGCATATAAAGCAGGATAGAGCAAAATAATGGGGATTATTCATATAGTGAAATTTTGCAATATAACTTTAGAATTATGATTTGGAAGAAACAAAAATGGTCAAATGCAAAAAAATTCTGATAAATATGTTAGGAAAAGTCATTTATAAGTAAAGTCCTTATTCAGGTTCTGGGCAGAGTGGCACATCAAATTTACGGTGTGAGACTCAATATCATATATCCAACATGTGTAGTGGATTGTTTTAAATATATAGTAACTTTCCTTAATAATTTCAACCTTAATGATTTATTCATATATCATATTCTCATATGTGTGCTGACTGAAAATGAAACTAAAATTAGGACTGGGGTAACTCAAAAGTTGAAGAAATAATTTCATATTAAAACGTAATTTGGTCAAGACATTGAAGAGGAAAAATGGGCAAAAACTGAGGTCCATATCAAAAAACATGTTTTCTCAAGAGGACATCCCCAATGTACACTTTGATATTATATATAGATAACAGTTTCCATAATTGAGATGCATTCCCAGTATTTACACATATATATCATACGCATTTGTGTACAAATATGTGTCCATTAAAATCTTAAATTTTTATAGAAATGAAAATTTTAAGACATTAAGATGACACAAGTAAGGCACTACTACATAGTCATTAGCTCTCAGACATTGGCAGAGAGCGCAATCACTTGTAGGTTTTCTTCTTTCCCCCCAAATATTCTTTGTCCCACCTAAGAAGAGCTTGCATCAATGCCTATGGTTAAAGTAAGGGATTCAATTTAAAAAAATCCTACTCTTTATAATACATGAAAAAATGGGAGAATCACTGTATTATGTTGTTTGAAACTACAAAGTTCTCATTGAGTACAGTTCACATCTACTGCCAAATTATCATTGTATCAATTTTATTTGCAGATAAATCATTTCTCAGCTGTGTCCTTTCTCTACTCACTCTACCCATGGAGCTGAATCACAGTGTGAATGAGTTCATTCTATTTGGGTTAACACAGGATATTCTAAAGGAGAAAATAGTGTTTGTGGTCTTCTTGTTTCTCTATCTTGCAACTCTGTTGGCAAACTCACTCATTTTGATAACCATTCGGTTCAGCCGGACACTTGGGAGTCCCATGTACTTCTTCCTTTTCTACTTATCCTTGGCTGATTCCTGCTTTTCAACAAGTACAGCCCCCAGATTGATTATCAATGCTATATCTGGGAACAAAGTCATCTCTTACAATGAGTGCATGACACAGATCTTTGTTGTTCACTTTTTTGGCTGTATGGCAACCTTGGTTCTCATCCTCATGTCCTTTGATCGCTATGTGGCCATTTGTAAGCCCCTGCGATATACAATCATCATGAACCAACAGGTCTGTGGTGCGTTGGTGATTCTGGCCTGGGTTGGTTCTTGTATTCACTCTTCAGCACAGATTTTCCTGGCTTTGAAATTACCCTTTTGTGGCCCCAATGTGATTGATCACTATTTCTGTGATTTGCAACCTTTGTTGAAACTTGCCTGTATGGACACTTATGTCATCAATCTACTCATAGTGTTTAATAGTGGGGCCATATGCATGGTGAGTTTCATAATCCTTCTTATCTCCTACACTTTCATTTTACACTCTCTGAGCAATAAGAGTGCCGAAGGAAGAAGGAAAGCCCTCTCTACGTGCACCTCCCACATCATTGTGATCATCTTATTCTTTGTTCCATGTATATTTACATACACTCGCCCTCCAATCACATTTCCAATGGACAAGATGGTGGCTGTCTTTTATACAATTGGAACACCCTTGCTCAATCCTCTGATTTACACTCTGAGGAATTCAGAAGTCAAAAATGCCATCAGAAAGTTATGGTTCAACAAACTGTGACTCAAGGCAGCCAAAAATGGAAGACTTATTATTAATTCTACAATAACTTAAGTAAAATTGCACAATGGAGAAGAATAAAGTCCTCATCCCAATGTTATTGTATAATTCTATTCCAGTAGGATATTTGGCAAAATAGGCAGAATGAGCATGTACCCATTTTATTTTAGGACAATATTACTTAAAATGACAGACTACCAAGTGCAGCCATATTTGAGGTGCACCAGCCCTCTGACTTTTGCTCTCTGAATTGATTCCCCTGCCTTTTTGAAGCTTTATGAGCCAGATCTTGTTGTTTCTATAATTTTATTTCTTTAACGCACTATTGTAATTGGGATTTTCTTCTTTATTTTCTTTCTGAACATCTATTTTTAACATTCTTTTTTTGGGAAATGAGATCTGGTACTCTTAAATCTATGTCATATATTATCTGGCTTAACAGTAAATAACCAAAGTTACTCCAAGAAATGTATGTTCCCCAAGGATCGTAAGTATTGTGTAGTTGACACCTATTTGATAATTCATTATTTTTGTAAAAAACTTTAAAAAAGATCTTTTATTCCTCTCATGAAGATATATAGACTGACAACGTGTTCTATTCAAATAAAATTAAAACTGGTTATAAGGCACACATTGAGTATTGAACCATGATTTCTATTATTTATGGTGATTTTTTTTAATAACTAATCTTCACTGCCCATATTTTTTGGTTGATGAATTGAGAATCTTTTGTAAAATTTTGAGTCATAAAAACTACCACTATCACAAATGAGGTATAATTATAAAAAGAGTCACAGTAGAGAAAAAGAGCTGGTGTCATTATTATTAATCTAAAGAGTAAGATGTCCACTTTAAAATACCCCACAAAGTACATCGTGGGAGCACAATTTGGATTAGTTCTGAGGTACAGTCCTAGTGCAAGAAAAATGTTTCCCTTTGGTCAGTATGACTGGCAGACATATCATTTCAGAATGAACATTTCAAACTGTTTACTGAAACCCATAGCCAATAATGCCTGTTTGTCAAATTCTGCTGGTATGAAGTCAGTTTCATATAGTAATTGGGCTTCCTATGAACAGTCATCTAGAGAGAGAAGGATAGTTACTAATGGCCAGAATAAACATTTGGTGCATTAATTTACATATTTTGTAGTTTCTCATTCAATAAACATTTTGGTTCAGATACTTTGAACTGGGTTTAGACAAAAAGAATCAGTTCAATCACGTCTGGACAATAAAAGGCCATTGAAAGGGGAGCCAGAATGAAAATAAGTGCTTTCCTACAAATCTGAGAACTGTCCCCTAAACTGTAGCAGATGAACCTACACAGTACCACTTTGGGATTCTTCCCATGAATCATGACATGCTTCCTCATGGATATTCAAACTCCATTAATAGAAGTTTGGAAGATTTACGTATTATTTGCTGGAAAACCTCAAAGTCCAAATTTTATTGACAGCAGGCAGCAATTTTTGGATTATGACATTGACTATCAGCAAACCGCTTGCCTTGCCAAGGTTTAGTTTTATGATATAAATAGAAGGGAAGCTTAGGAGTTGAAAACAGGAGAAAGAAGATGTAGTAATTGAAATGACACAACAGAAGAGGTTTCCTGATATTTGGATAAGCTGCTTTTAGCACAAACATTTGTGGGATGATTGGGAAGCTCCTCCTTCCTGGATTAATTAAGATTAGCTGAGATTATTCTGAAGCTGTGTTGAAGGCAACAATACCTCAGAGAAGCATTTCCATCCTGTATATTAAAGTTCCCACATTTAAAATGAGGGTTCATAAGGCTTCATGCACTATCTCTGTGTTGATGGCTCTCATCTGAATGTCACATTTCTGTGACATCTTCCTCTGTAGACTTATTAGTGCCTTCACAGCTGCTGCCTAACTTTTCCTGCCTCACTCTTACTCCTACAGTTTTCCCCAGGAAAACTGTTCTTTCTGTTGCCAAAGCATTGAAGTAAAAAATAAACAGACGAAATGAAGTTCTAACAGTTGATACCAAATGTCTTAGAAAAAAATAGTTCACCTTCACTATATATCCAGGGTGTGGTATATTTTCTTACCAACTCTCCTACCACCCTGATAAAAGTAAGCTCCCATTGGCTCTAACTAGATTTCTGCTAATTTCCATAAGGATTTTTAAATTCTGATGTTATGTTTTGAGTTGATTGAGTTGATAATTTCAAAATATATAAAAGCATGGTTTGGGTCATCTGATGAATACCTCATACCCAGGTATAATCACCTAATTTGAGTGCCTGAACGTGATCATTGTTAAAAGTTGTCAAACACTGTTACTTTGTGATTGGAGGGCAAATGATGAGCAGGGTTTACAAAACAAAATTATATTAACTTAGCATTACTTAATTTAAATAACATTTGTTTTCTTAATTTTAAACAATTTACTGTTGTAGTTATTTTTAATTTTTGCATTTTTAAAGAGTTGTAATCATATAGCATTTATAATTATTTTCATGTTTCCAAATGTATTATTGCAATCATTTGTGCTAATCACTTAAGTTAGACCTGGGGTTTATAAGAAGTTCTTTTTTTCCCTAGAATTCTACATGTTACTCAAAAGGAACAAAATATGATCCCTACAAAATAAAACTATATGCAATAGAAAAATAATTTGATTAATAAAAATGTGTACGCAGATAGAAAAATATAAATGATAGATAAGAATTATGTCTTCATGTGATGACCTGGGCAGTAAGAAGCTCTCTGGCCTAGTGTGTAGTGATTATATATAGCCCCATAATCACTGGGTAGAAACAAGATCATCTTTATTAATTGTTCTTTTTATTATGTATTGTTACATATTATGTATGTAACAACACAAATATGTGTACATGTTTATGAGATACAATGTGATAATTTATTTATGTATTATGTATACATTGGGTAGTGATCAAGTTTGTATAATTAGCATATTTATCACATTTACCATTTCTCTGTGGTGAGTACATTCAAATTAAACTCTTCTAAGTATTTTGAAATACATGATGTTTTATTGTTAATTATGTTTACCTGCTATGCCATAGAACACCAAAACTTATTCTTATCAAACAATAACATTTCCCAATGATCCACCTCTGCCTGTCACCAGGCACTCCCCATTCTCTGGTAACCCCTATTCTCTCAATTTCTAGGGTTCTCTTTCCACCCATAAATATTTAGATGGTAATTTACTTTTCTGTTGTTATTGCAAGAAATTTCCATCTTTCTCATGATTCTCCACCTTGATGGCTTCCATAAAGTAAGCTGCCAGGTAGTAAACTATTATTCAGTGTATCACAAGCCAGGAACTAAGACCTGTCTCTAGGCCAATATCCAGTGAGAAAATGAGGCCTTCATGTCAGTGTCCAGAGAGGAACCCAGTTCTGCAAACAGGCACACACAGGCTTTGGAGTAGACCTTGTCCAGCTGAATCTTAAGATGAGACCATAGCATTGTTTGAATCTTGGTTATATTGTCGTGAAAGACCCCTGACAGATCCAGATAAGTCGTACTCAACTCCTGACCTATAGAAACTGAAAAAATAAATGTGAGTTATTTTCAGCTGCTAATTTGAGGTCATTTTTTGCACAATATTAAGTAACTAACACTGTGAGCATTTAGTCCTGTTCTCCAATTGAATTTTCCCTGGAAAGTATTAAACACGTGTTCTGTCTTCTAATGGTGGGCCCTTTTAACCTGGTTACAGTGAGCAAGAGCATGAGAGATTGTTCACAACTGGACTATTTATTTATTTATTTATTTTCCCATCCCTCCTGAATCCCCATTAATCCCCTTCCTCTACTCCACTGATACAACTAGGTATTTATTTAAAAGATCTGATTTTTGCTGCCCAATTCTGAAGGCCAGAGTTACTTTATAGTAGTGCAACAAGAATGAATCTCTGAATTCTGAAGATTAGCAATGTCTTATATTGCCTTAACTTTTTTTTTCCATATATCCTTTTTGAAGAGTTTTAAACTCTAACATTTTGAATTCTCATGGTTAATACAAATCCATGTTCTTAAGGGAAAAGTAATTTAAAATGTCACAGAAGGAATGCCATCTCTGCATGCAAAAGACCATATCAGTAATCCAGGAACCCTCTCAGGAGTAGAGTTATTATATAAAGAGGAAAAAGCCCTCATGTATATTTTTGAGTTCCATAAATACTTAGAGTAAGGATAAACTTCTATCAAAGAGACATACAATGATATTATGCTTTAAAAAATAAGAAGTTGGGCTGGTGTTGTAGCTCAGTGGTAGAGCGCTTGCCTCACATGCATGAGGCCTTGGGTTCAATCCTCAGCACCACATAAACATAAATAAATAAAAATAAAGATAATATGTCTATCTATAACTAAAATATTTTTAAATAGGAAATTATTCTTTAAATGTAATAGTCCCATAGAAATAATCCAACTTGGCAGAGCATTTCTGCTGGGAGCTATTAGCCAAGTAGGTATGACAATTTCCTTGCCAGCATACCCCATGTTGCTTAGTGGAAGGACTCATGGAAATAGGACATTTTGCAGTGACATTGCATGTAGGTGACCTTGCTCAAGGACCAAAGTGGATCCGGATTAGAGTGTTCCCGGTTTAGGATAATAGGGTTTAGGGCGTTCCAGGTTTAAGATTATTCCTGCTGGGAATAGGGTGTATCCTGCTGCCTGAGTTCCCCTTGAGTTCTCACGGGATTCAGACAGTATTTTTTGGGAGACAGAAGCCCAGTGGATGTGGATTTGGGCAGAGAATGTGGATTTCCCCAGAACGTGATTGTAGACAGCTGGTGTGAGTTCGGGAATAAAGAGTTGCTGTTTGAATCTACAAGCTGTGTGGTGGCTCGTGATTTTGTGCCCAGCCAGACTGCGGCTGCACCCAGCTAGACTGCGGCACATTTCCTCTTCTTAATTTACAGATCCAGCTATCTCTCAGTCTGTTGCTTGATCACCTGTGAAGCTGTATCTTCATGTTCAAAATGTGATCATAGCTGGA